TGTAACTGACTTCTTCCAGAAACTTTTGAAGCAATTGAAATTCTTAAAACTCATTATCATTCTCTTTGTAAATAGTCTAGTATAAAGTACTAGCTACATATTACAAAAAAAAGAATAGACACTATTTGTTGTAGAATGCTTGAACTCCTCTACTCACATTAGGGACACACTCTTGAGTCAACTGTAAGTATAAGTTCTACTAGTCCAGGTCATACCTGGACCAGACCTGGACTGGACCTCAGGTCTGGTCCAACAGTAGTCTACAAAGGTTTGGGTCCAGGTCCCTCCTTTACCCAGACTGTATGAAGAGGTCCAGGTTACAGTCTAGGTAAAGAAGGGGTGGACTGGTTCAGAACTGGACTACAGTAACTATAGATGCACATTAAACATGTAGTGTCTTGTATCAGTAATTCTTCCATCCTAGAAGAATTCTTGATGATTAGTGAAAGCTTGTAAGAACATACTTTAGAGTTACTCTCAAACACATTTCTAACTTGACTTTAATCCAGGTCTTCAAGTTTCAAGCTCCTTCCTTACAGTATGAACTTGGCAATTTGTCCTACTACTAAGCTAGTCAATCTTAGTAAAGTCCTAGAGCCAGTTCTTAAAATATTTACTTTACAGTGCTTTCAACTGGCTATTGTAACTGTTTTAGTATATGACTCAAGTAAGTAATAAATGTGACTCTATTGAATGAATTTACTAACTAATAGTTGTTAAAGTAATTACATTTGATAGTAAAGTAATTACTTTACTCTTACAGTTCTAATAATGTTAACTAATAGCTTGTCTTTAGATTAAGTACTTCTGAGTGTGTATTATATACTACTACTGTTTAATATTCTCAGTATCTCTAATATACATTTAAGAAGGGGCCTGTGAATGTTGTCAACATTATTTACTTTATAGTAAGTAAATTACAAATCAAGAGTTGATCCCTACTTTATCAGATTTCTTCAAGAATCAATACACTAGCATAATAGGTACTATCTCTCTTCTTTTCTGTAAGTTATCTTTATTACAAATGTAATGTGATTATAAATTTACACAATTTATAAGAGAGTGTTTATAGGGTCAACCTTAAATTGTATGTCTTCCATATATGAATGTGCTTGAATTGAAAGTATATTAGGTTTAAGTATGAGGTACAGTACCTCCTATAGTATATACTAACAAAATACAGGCAATTCTGCCTGGTGGACAAACTTTTTTGCTAGTAAGACAATAATACTTATTATGTTTAGTACTTTACTAACAGTTTGAAGACTAGTTTACAATCATCTTGATTGATTGTATATGAAGTTAAAAACACAATTTGACCCAATTAGCTGACTATTTCTACTGTAGACATTCTAATAATCCAAGTCCTTACTCTCTACTCTCAAAGTGTGTTGTGAACCAAGTTAAACTATTGTTAATTTTGTACTTACACTGTTTAAAGGTAAAAATTATCTTTATGCTTAAAAGCATTCCTTGTACTTGAGGCATGTCTAAAGCTTACTATAGGCATTTATCTCAATGTGATGTAGAGATGTAAGTTACCTTATTATATTAGAAAGGCAAATTCTCATTTTTAGTCAGTTATTATTAGGGCTCTCCTAAATAGTGTTACTATTTGTGGATCAGATGTGATCCTACCTTAGTAGTTAGGGATAGTTAATTAGTGTGTTACTCCAATTTATGAAAGCTGTTTCTTACCCTTAAATAGAATAGGTCTAATAGTGTTTAATATTATACTAATACTTCTAGTAATTTATAAGACTATAGATTATTAGAGACTATCAACTAGGTTTAAAGGTTTCACACTTGTTAAAGAAATTATTCAGGATCAGGTCCTCTATTTCTTCCTGTAAGTCTAAGGTTTTACTAATTGCTAAAAGCTAATGTGCCTGTTTAGTGTTATACTCAACATAGTAAATACTAAAGTAAATATTAGAATAGTCTTCTCTACAATACTACTCAAGTCTCTAGGAAATCCATCATTTCTCTACATCCTTAGTAGTCAGATGTTGTTCAACTTAAAAGGAGCAGGAGAGCTAGGAGTTACAGCTGTTTGCAAAAATATTGGCTGTAGTATAGTTTACATAATTTTTTTTTTACAAAGTTGTAAAATACAGAAAAAGTACTATAACTCACTCAAATCTTGATAGAATTACTTCAAATAAGTTGCTAAATTCATGTTTTTAATAGTAGAATATATTTATCAAATTATTTTTTAATTATCTCTTTTTCTTGTCTTGTGAAAACTGAAATATATAGATTTTAGCTGTTTTTCCTTGTATAATTTTTCCTAGTCTCAAATCTGAACATATAGGCTTAGAAAACTGTTTATTCTAGTCAGATACACTAATAGTTAATTTACATACTAGATTTACTATGAATA